GTTTTGTTTTTGATGGCCATGATTGGTGAATGTAATATGCATAAATCTTGAGCAGTGGCATTCACTGATTTTCTACCCTCTTTGTTTTTTTAGTAACCTTTTGGTTTCACTTCTAAATCCATACATCTCCTCGACCTCTTGCTGCTATCACTAAACTAGCACTAGTTTTGCTGTATTTGGGAGCTATGATGCACTTAATGGTCATATTATCAAAAGAAAGTTAAACAGATACCACAGCGACACTCAAAGGACATGTGATACAAAAATTAGTCCACACAATTGGCATCCATTTCGGATTTATCTCATTGGTTTATGAGAAGTAACTTGCCCACTTACTGAAAGCCATAAAGATTCTCTGTCTTTATACTTAAAACAACATGTAGTTTTGCTGAAGGATTCCTGGTGTGGCACTGTAGGATAAGCACTCGACCACAAGTTCAGTTTGAACCACAAGGTTGGCGGTTCAAACTTACCAGCCACTCCTTTGAAACCCTATATTGAATCTCTATGACTCAGAACTAACTCCACGGCACTTATAACAACAACAATCTGAAAGAGAAACCACAAATTGTAGGAATCTTGATCACGTTTTTCAATGATGTGAAGCTGCCTTCGTAGATGTGTCTGGGTTTGTGAAGAGTTACTGTTTGTTAAATAATAAAAGAGATCAACTTTATTATGTGACCCATATTCACCAAATGACAGGAAGAAAGGTCAGTTATTTCTTTCTATGTTGGCACTAAAATTGAGAAAGGGGCAGAACTCATATTTACTTTTTTAAAAAAACTTTTTATGCTTCATTTTCTAAAATTTAAAAGTTAATTTCTCTGGCAATACACAGAATGCATGCACAAAATGCTTATTAGCGTTAACTTCCTCGCTTCTGTTTGGGATGTTGATTTTGATGGAGTTAAAAAAAAATCTTGCCAGCCTCCTCTTCCGGTGCTTCTTTTTTGTGGCTGTGCAATTTATATCGATGCTCAAATTGTGCAAGTGTTTTTAAAATGTAGCTCTGTTAGTATCAGAATCATGGGCAAAGGAGAAGAAGGCTAGAAATATACAAATCATTTTAACAACAAAAAAGAGGATGAGAGACTGAAGCATTGTTACAGACCCAGACTACAAAGTGGCTCCTTTGTAAATAGGGTGACCATATATGAGTATATATGTTTGTATACCTGCTATGGACCTGTTGTCCTAATATATTTATGAATAACATCCTCTTCACCCTTGAAAGGGTTCAGGTTTGCGTGTGTGGTAATTGGATGGTCACCTTAGTTATCAGAACTTTATGTTACTAAGATTTGAAATCGATATCAATGAAAAAAAAGTCAAAAAGTATTGCCTCAAAATAAAAATGAAAAAACAATCTTTTTGTTGTTGTTAAGTGCCGTCTAGTCAGGTCTGCTGACCTTGCTGTTCCAACTGACTTTGCAGTCCAGCACATTAACCCTTGGTGGCACACCAGGACTCCAGACACCTTTATTTAACAAAAAATATAAACATGTGAAGCTGTTGTTTTCTGACAGATCCTCAATTTAGTGCTATATACTTTTGAAGGTGGGTGGCATTTCCATCTCTCTAAACCCTTCCCTGAAGAATTCTGTGCTCTCCAGTTTAATACCATAATACCATGTCAAAACAGAAGTTTTGGCATATTTCATGAACTTAAATTGTGTTTCTCTCTAATGTTCTTGAAGTTTGGGGGGGAAAAAAGTTTCAAATGTCAAGATGAGGGCTGTAGGATGTATGGGGTACAATTTCTCAATGAAATTCTTGCAGGACAGCCCTTGCTAACCTCAAAGAATGAGCAGGTGCCTTATTGTGATGGAGAAAAAATTACTTGGTGCAGCTTTCTTGGCCTTTGTTTCACCAGTGGGGTAGATAAAAGTCATGTTGGTAATTTGTATGGTGTTATTTCTTGATGTTACTGATCTTTTATAAAAATTAATGGCTAAAGGAGATTTTTATTTCTATCCAAAGTCAAAGGATTGTCGTTGTAGTTGGGTACCATTGACTTGGTTCCAACTCATAACGTCCCTATGTATAACAGAACCAAACGGTGCCCCTTTCAACACCATTCCTCTTCAATTTGTCATTCCTGACAGAGTAAACTATATGATTGTAAGATTCAGTATGGCTAGTACCACTCCATTTCAGCTCAGTAATGCCTAGAATATCGATCTTTATGTGTTCAATTTCAGTTTTGACAACTTCCAATTTTCCTAGAGTCATACATTCCATGTTCCAATTATTAATGGATGTTTACAGCTGTTTCTCCTCGTTTTGAGTTGTGTCCCTTCAATAAAAAAAAAGGTCCCGAAAGCTTTACTCTGTTTGCTTCATCACAGTCAACTGTACTTTGAGGAGGCAGCTTTTTCCCAGTTGTATTTTGAGGGCCTTCCAACCTGAGGGTCATCTTCTGCCAGTGTAACATGACAATATTCTGTTGTTATTCATCAGGTTTCAATATTCAGTATTCTGGTGCTATCTGACAGTGTTCCACTGTTATTCGTAAGGTTTTCAGTGACTAAACATTCAGAAATAATCTGCCTTTCTTTCTTCCTAATCTGCCTTAGTCTGGAAGCTCAGCTGAAACCGGTCCACCATTAGTGTACCCTGTTGGCATTTAAAATACCAGTGGCATAGCTTCCAGCATCACAGCAATGCACCACAGTGGTACTACAAAGTGACAGATGAGTGGTGGTTACAAATACTAGCATCCACAATATGGTAGCTAAAACTAAAAAATTGGATAAAATCAGTGACTATAAAAAACAGCAGCAGCAATGAAAACAACACGTCCTTGTATCACATGTAATTTGAAGCATCATTGTAATTAGGTAACAAAGGCTGTAAGGGAAGAAAATTAGCATAAAACTTTAGCTTTGTATCATACATATAACCTGAATTTATAAAAATATTTCTGTTATAACTAAATACAGGGACATTTTTCTAAAAAATAATAAATGTTTGCTTCAACAGTATACAAAACTTTATAAACATACATTTTGGCATCAACTACTGACCGTGTCATTTGGTACACTCTAGGGCTTCCGCCAGCCCCCCCCCCAATTTATGCCACTGTTGTAAAGCCCTAGTTGGCATCACTTTTTTTTTATTTTTTTTTTAAACTTATCCTCTTTCCTGTGGCACAATGGCTGTTGTTGTTAACAGCTGTCGAGTCAATTCCAACCCACAGCAACCCTGTATAGGGTCTCCAAGGAGCAGCTAGTGAGCTTGAACCACCTCACCAGGCAGTTCAAAGTGACTTTGCAGTCTAGCGCATTAACCCACAGCACCACACCAAACTCTGCAATTATGTTGCCAATGGGAATTGTGAAGAATAAACACGACCAAATTCTTTTGCAAATATTTTAGCCAAATAAATACAGCAGGCTTAGTTTGCTAGACAAGTTTATTATAACTTGGTGATTTTGTCCTTTCATTCTTTTTTATTTTATTTTTTTAAATTTAGTGTTCTATATACTTCCCCCACCACCCTCCAGTGTACCCCACCTCTGAAACCCAGAATTTGGAACAGGACTGTTTACAAGGGTGGAAGGCTGATAGAAAGGGTGAAAACTTTTGCAACTTTTCTTCCATTGCACATTTTGGGTATGTCTTTTGAGTTGTGCCTAAAATTCACTGTGTTCATAAAGAATCTGAAACTTATGTTTTTGAAATGTCATTGGCAAAAAGAATATTTGAATTCTCTCTATATAACTGTCTCCCTTTCATTAGTGTGCATAATAACATATTGAAGAAACCATGAGTACCCTGGCTACGAAGAAATCTTGTAATGTTCTCTCAGTAGTTGATTTAAAAAAATAGGCAGTATTAAAAATAATTGCTTTATTAATACATATATAGTAAAACATGAAGTATATTGAAAAGTAGCTTACAAAAATGTATGGCAAGATTATAAGAAAGATGAGTTGAATGTTTTCTAACCAATTAATAGCAGAGAAAGAACCAGTTTTGTGAACTCACAAGCAAGCATCCTTATGCATCTTCACGTATTAAATTAATCTGTATCCTAGAAAATGCAGTATATGAACTTCCGTTTCATGTTTTGACTTCTCACTCATTATTTTAAGTTTTAGACTTTTTCATCAAGTCCAACTCCTTTCAAAGAGAACTGCTTTCTTTTCTATCTCTCTCTCCTGATGTATGTTGCCAATCTGTGATATTGTATGTGTGTCTTTCTCTTTCCAAGTCAATATCTAGCTTACCTTGACAGGGTTTACATAAAACTGTATGAACACCAGAGTTCCAAGGTCATTAAGTAATTTTAAAACTCTTTGTATAAAGTATAGTTAACATGTATCTTACAGCATCCTCAAACTAGTTTTTAAGAAAAAAAATTACATTCTTATAATAAAGTACATAATTTAGGTCTGCTTTCCTTTGAAAGATTAATCACTGTGGTGTTTCTTAAGTATAGGTTTGGTTTTATGCTTGTCCTGTTTCTTCCAAATACAGAAACTTTTCTTACTCCAAACAAGCTTCTAGCCCTTTATCAAATTGTGCCTACATTTAAATTGGTCTTCAATGACTCTGTGGGGAAAAAAACCACATAATTTATGAACTTAGTTCTTTGGTTTAGAGAAAGAACATGCTCCTGCTAGTTGGCTTCCTTTGGTTTCTTTTTGTTTCATACACTATTTAAAATTCTGCATTAACTGACCAAACTGAAGTTTTAAGATTAAACCTTTCATTTTGAAAGATTAGAATTAAATAATATATTATTTTTTTCTTTTGTATTAACAGGAAGAATAAATGTCAGCATTCAGATAAAAGTCATCTGATGGATATTTTATCTTTGATGTTACAATAAAGTTGGAAATGTACATTTAGTTTTATTGTTGTACTAAATTGGATAGTTTTGCCTAGAGATGACATTTATTGGCATGGGTATGTTTCTTATTCATTCTTCTTATCCTGTAATTGAAGATTATGATATGCATACTTGGATTTTATTTGGAAGTGTGTAGAATTCATAAAGTGTCTGTGCTGTCATGTGTTGTATTTCCCCTTTTGGTTTTGGAAATTTCTAGATCATTTTGTTCTTTTATTGGGATGTTCAGTTTCTTACATAAGATCTTTCTAAATGGTTGGCATAGAAAGAAATAAATAATGGGGTCCAGGCATACATTTGCAGCAGACAGTAGCAGAGTGAGCTCTTTAACATAAAGCAAGATTTCTTTCGACTGGCAGTTATAATGACCTTCTGTTTGACTCTGTGTGTAAGGGATTCTGGCAATGTGGTAAGGCACAAAACAAACAAAGAATACAAATACAATGCTGAATATGTTTCGGCTAGATTTCTTCTTGACTGAAATCGAATTCCTTCTGGACTTCAGCTGGGATTTAAAGATTTTCCTTGTGATAGCAGTGTAGAAAATGATCAGCAGAAGAAACACAATCCAGAAAATGCCCACAAAGATATAGTTGGATGCTTTGTGCCACTGCTGTCCCAGTTGGTTTTTAAGTTCCATACAATTCACAGGCTTAGCATCCTTAACACTCTGGTTGGTCAGAATAATATTTGGGACTGCGAGAAATAGTACCAGCATCCACACCATCACTGACAGGGCTTTACTGTAATTCACTGATTGCATGAAAGAAGACAAAAGAGGCTTGACAATTTTATAATATCTGTCGAAGCTGATGAGCCCAAAGAACATGATGCTAACGTACATGTTGATGTAGAAGAGTACAGCAGAAACCCTACATACAAACACATTCAGCTGCCTGGGGCCGAGGCCTGCATCGTTAAAGATCTTGAAAGGAAAAGTCAGGCTCATCAGGAAGTCGGCAACGACAATGTTTTTGAGATAGATGATGAAACTCTTAGAGCTGGGCACATAGAAGAATATCCATCCTGAGACTCCATTGAGCAGGATCCCTGCCACGAAGACCACACAGTACAACCCAGGGATGATTTGTTGAGTGATTAGGGTGTTCCGGGAACAGCTGTCTTCTGGAGGTGGTGCCGTGGTAGAATTCGTCATTTTGTATGAAAGGCCTGGGAAGAGATGTTAACTGGTCACTCTGAGGGTACTTTACAGCCATCAGCTCATTGAAGAGTAGTAAGATGAAGTGAAGGCAGTGTATCAAAACCAAGCACACACACACACACACACACACACACAGCTTCAAAAAGTTTGTGGAAAACTGTAATTAAAAGATAATGGAGCTATGAGTTGGAACTAACACAACAGCACACAACCACCACCAAACTATGAGAAAGTAAAGATACAACAAACATGAAACACAAAAGGATAATGGAATTTGTTCATGAACTTTTTGAAGCCTCCTCATGTTTGTATGAGAGAGAGAGAGATAAAGGGAAGATGAACAGGTAGATAGATTGGAAAGGAAGAAAAATATAAGCAGCTGGGCAAATTGAGAATTTTTAGGTAATATCAAGACCAGCATTTCCCTGAAATGGTAAAAGATTCCTTGTCTAACTTACAAAGTTCTAGGAGGTGTTTTTACCTCTTATAAAATCAGTTTTTGTGGGTTCATAAAAGTGAATCTAAGTGTTTACAGATAGATCTTAAGTGCTATTTTGTTTTCCGGGTTGGTACAGACCTTATTTATAAAATGTCTGTCCGATACAATTTGAGCATTAGGATTGTGTCTTGCAGAATACACATCCAAATGTTAATTGTTATTTCTGGTGTGGAATTATGGGTGACGTTTCAAAGTTGTGCTTTTCTGTAACTTGTTTTCAATTGAAATAACTGATTTGCATCCTTGTTATAAATTAGAAGACAAATGGAAAAAAATCATAATAGCATAACATACCGCTCAAAATACATCGTGGATCTGCACTTACTTCAGTAAGTTTGTGGAAAAGTGAAATTAAAGAATGGATTTTTCCACATACATTTTGAAGTCACTGTACATGTAGGGACAGTGGCAGTCACTAATGGTATGGCTACTGGGCACTTGAAATTTGGCTAGTACAGATTTCATGACTTGAATATCAAGGCTGAGTATTCATGCTGAACTGGATAGTGGATACACTTGTGCCTCAGTGTAACTCAAGGTGTAAGGGCGGTGCTTATTAGGTGCCTTGCAGTTGTTTTCCTAGTAAAAACATGATTAGTAGGCTTCACTGTAATTGTACACTGTAACCCATTTTTCTTTTATATGGAGCAACTTCCACCAACCTACTGGTAATTCTTGGAAGAAGAGAAATTAATTTTTCATAGCATTTTGATGAAATTAAGGATTCCCTTGTTAATACTTGAGACTTTTGTTGGTTTGTTTTAAACTACCTTTTAAAAGTTCTTGTGTAATATGACGTCTTCTTTCAGTGAAGTAATTTAGCCCAGTGAGGTCTTGTCATCTTGAATTGGCCAAAACATTTCTTCACTCAAGATTCTGGATTGCAGGAGAAAAATGAAGAATTAATTTAACTAATTGAACATCAGGCTGTTTTTATTAAAAAAATATATCTGGTAGCAGAAAATTAAATTTTTTTTTTTTAACTCAGCGCGTATAATTGTGAAAGATTTCAACATGCACCACATCTTGTTTATGTACTACAGCTGATCTTGGTTGTTATCGTTGATGTTTATTGATTTGGTCACTACGGAAACATAAATTCCCTACGTAAGGATGTCCAGCATTAAGTGTTTTATCCCCCCATGAATCCGTGGATATGGATGTTTAAATCAATTAATTAAATGACTGAATTTGTTTAACAGTTACTTTTGTGAGAAAGTCAGCGCTTTTTAACCTTAGTACTATTGATATTTTGGGTCAGCTCATTCTTTGTTGCGAGAGGCTGTTCTTTGTTTGCATTGTAGGGTATTTAATAATCCCTAGACTCTATCGGACTGCGAACCACAAGGTCAGCAGTTCAAAACTACCACCTGTTCCGCAGGAGAAAAATGAGGCTTTCTGCTCCCGTAAAGATTTACAGCCTCGGAAACCCTGTACAGGGTTGCTATGGGTCGGAACCGACTCGATGGCACTTAACAACAACAACAGACTCTACTTACTAGTTGTCAATAGCACTTCCCCTCCCCACAAATGATAATAAAAAATTACATTGCCAGATATCCCCAGGGGTGGGGTACAACTGCCTCTGATTGAAAACCTCAGGTCTTAGGAGTCCTGGTGTGGTGCTGTGGAATAAAGCACTGGGCCTCATGGTCAGTTTGAGCCACAAGGTCGGCAGTTCAGACTCATCAGCGCTCCTTGGTAACCCTATACAGGGTTGCTATGAGTCAGAACCAACTAGATGGCACTTCACAACAACAAAAGGAGTCCTGGCGTGGTGCTGTAGGACCAGCTCTGGACTGTTAACCTAGCGTAGGTGCTCTGGTGGTGCAGTGGTTAAGCACTCAGCTGCTAACTGAAAGTTTGGTGGTTTGAACCCACCAGCCACTGCTCAGGTAAAAGATACGACACTACGTTTCTATAAATATTTATAGCCTTGGAAACCCTATTGGGCAGTTCTATTTTGTCACTGTGAGGTGGAATTGACTTAATGGAAACAGATACCTATAATACTCCTAAAAGATCATGATATTCTCTTTAGTAACAGAAAGGTGAAGTTATTTCTTTAAAAAAATCTATAATCCAGGGCAGTACTATCTGTGCTGGAACTTTAAGTGATGTATATATAAGGAGCTCTGGTAGCATAGTGGTTTCGAATTGGGCTGCGAACAGCAAGGTCATCAGTTCGAAACTACCAGCTGTTCCGTGGGAGAAAGAT